TATCAAAAACCCCTGATTGGCTGATTTTCTAAGCTCAAAGAATCTGATTGGTCGAAAGCCCGATATCCAAAACTACTGATTGGCTGAATTTCTAAGATCAAAGAATCTGATCGGTCGAAAGCCCAATATCGAAAACCCCTGATTGGCTGGATTTCCAAGCAGAAAAAATCTGATTGGTCGAAAGCCCGATATCGAAAACCCCTGATTGGCTGAATTTCTAAGCTCAAAGAATCTGATTGGTCGAAAGCCCGATATCGAAAACCCCTGATTGGCTGAATTTCCATGGTGAAAAAATCTGATTCGTCAAGAGCCGGATATCGAAAACCCCTGATTGGCTAAATTTCCAAGCTGAAAGTACGTGGTTGGAGAAAAAACAGATATCGAACATATCCGAGCATTGATCTTTAAGCGGATGTTTTTTTGACCCCGATGTTCTTTTGACCTGTGGCAAGCAAACGGACAAACTATTTTTTTTTCATATGACCCTCCCTTCAGTCGAGGGAATAACAGAAAAAGGTTTAGCAATTCTAGCATTTCAAATTCAATGTTTTTCACAACATATTATATATCAATGGATAGAGCTGGTCGAGATACATTAGATGTGACATGTCTCGTCGCTGGCACATATTGCCCAACGAATTGGTTAAACAAATACCCACTCTCAGCTCACCTAGCTAAAGATTTAGCAATTGCTGAACTTGAAATTGAATATTTTTCACACCATATTGTATGTCAATCGATAGAGCCCATCGATAGACATCAAATGGAACATATCTTGTCATTGGCACAAATTGCCCAACGAATTGGCTAAAGAAATACTCAACATAACTCATACAAGAAGAAGGTTTAGCGATTTTAGAATTTGAAATTGAATGTTTTTCACAATATATTATATATCAATCGATAGAGCTGATCGAGATACATTAGATACGACATGCCACGTCATTGGCACACACTCCTCTACGAATCGGTTATGTGAATACTTCCTCTTAATTCATTCAAGCAAAAGTTTTAGCAATGGTAGAAGTTGAATTTTAATGTTTTTCATGATGTGTTTTATATCAATTGAGAGATATGGTCGAAGCTCATTGGCTGATACGAGTTTAGTATAGAATTCACATTATGAGTCATTGGTTGGAGTACTTGTTGCAGTACAGCACAAATCTAAGACTGTAGAAAACTTTTATGCTAAAGTTTGATTTGTGTAATGACAAATTATATATCATTCAATAGAGCTCGTTAAACTGAATCGAATGGGATTATTTTCCCGTGTGGCACAACTTATGTAACGAATTGGGATATGAAACACTTCCTGAAATGCTAATTTTAGATGTAGACCAAAATATAAATCTTCATTGATTCAATTTATCAGGGCTTATTATACACCATTAGATAGAGCTTGTTGAATTACATCGATTGATTCAAATTTGAAAAGTGGCACAAGTCGTGAATCGAACGTTTCTGAAAAATATCTATTTTGCATTTTTTGCCCCCATGATGAAAAATGATATTTTATGGTTTTTTTTCTTTGTTGTGGATTTCGTTTTTAGAAGTAAATATACCATTCGATAGAGCTCATTGAACTCTATCTGGCACACAACATTCCGTAGTTGGCACAGTTGATTGTGCGAATCGATCTAGAAAAAACTCGAATACTTCGCTAACTTCCCTTACATCAAAGCAGTAAAGTGTTTGTACAGTTCAACAT